TTCGCGCAACAGAATTTTTTTTCTTTTGACAATATACTGTCGTATACCTCGCGAAGGAAAAGCGCGGAAGGCAACTGTCTCCGCGGTACAGACAAGCATATAAAAGACTGCCACTTACAGGTATCCTGCCGTCGTCGGAGGAGGGTTGGGTAAAGAGCCCTAAGTGACCGGCGACGATCGAGAAACCTGTCCCGGGACTCGACTCGTCCTCGATTGATACGATATCCCAACCGGATGGGAACAGTCGTTTCCGCGGAGATTTGCTGAAGAGGAGGACAAATCTGAAGGCGAATCCAGAGCGATTGATATCGAGAGGAAAGCCCCGAAGGCAAGGTAGTGGAAATATGACGGTGGAGGCAGTGGAAAGCTGTATGCTTCTCTCTCTCTCTCTCTCTCTCTCTCTCTCGTTCTCTTTCTTTCCTTCACTCTCGAAGCTTTATTCAGCCTGGAAGGCGCAATGAATGGGAGCTTCTACGAGCATCGAGCGCACCTCTTCAGACCGTCTACGCGAACATCGGCAGGGTTCTCTCTTCCTTTTTCCCCGTCCCCCTTTCCGCCACGCCATCCGCCCGCAACGTCCGCCAAGAGAAAGAGAATTTCCCGCCTTTTCTCGGTCCCTTCCTCTTTCCTCGCCTCGGGAAGGTCGGCTCTTCGCACCCACGGATTTTCAACTCCGCAAGCATCGCGCGGAAATAGCGGTTTCTTCGAGTCGACGTCGTCTTTCGTACAGCGAGACTAATTTGTGTGATACTTTTTTATTGCAAACTTTTTTATTACACAAAGATAAAAAAATTAACTGAATAATGTATTGTTTAAAAAAAAAAAATTTCTTCCCTAATTTTTAATGCATGATAAAAAGCCGTTTGACCCGATAAAGAAATAACACAAAAATCTCGAAAATCTTCCTCAGGTCAGTAATTGACGCCGGAGAGAGTTTCTCTAGGGCGAGGCGCGAAGACAAACGTCGAAAGTACGCGAGGGATTGCCGCGCGGAAAGGTAGAGAAAATCCCTGGCAGGAAAAAAAAAGCAAGACAAAGGAAGGGGAGGGCACCGCAAGAGAAAGGGAGAGTGAACGTTGAAGGGAAACAAATGGCCGTTGTCTCGCACGCACGATGATAGCGAGCGGCTCGATGTCGGTCAGCGTCCCAATTTCGAGGGGGGAGGAATAATGAAAGCGCACCTGCCCAACAACCTCCGAATGTGATAAGAAAACTCTATTTTGCTTGGAACAAATTTGCGACCTCCTCTCCACCTCCCCCTTCCGCCGGCCACACAAACAATCGACTTTCCTCGTGCTTAACGGATTACACAGTGATGGCGGGCAGTTCGATTTCCTCGCTGATAAATCGCACCCTCCAGACCCTTTTCCCCGAACAATTTGTATTAACTGCGAGAGAGGCATACGCGTGTTATGGCAACGTCGTCCCGAAATATATATATGTATATATATATATATATCGCGTGGATTGAGGGCCCTCGGCCAGGGTCAATTCCGCACCGGCTGTTCAGGGACTACATATATTTAGAAAAGAGACCGACAAATCTCCGGATTGCTTTGTAGATACAAAATATATTGTAGTTCTGAATTTTTTAAATCTTTCCGATTCTCTGAAACTTTTCTCGTGAAAGTCGAGACACGTCAATACTGCAATAATGTTAATTCGTCATTAATTCGTTACTTTATTATTAATCGTAAGTATACAGTACGATTAGAGTAGCATTGCGTCCCGTTAACGCGCTCTGAAATTTTTCCCGAATAAACTCGCTTCTCCTATCACGCGTCGCTAATCTGACCGAGCAACTGACTTTGATGTAACTACTCGCGTGGCATTTCTCGCTCTATTTTCGCGCGCGCGTCCCGTAAATGTTGCAATTTCAAGTAACGCGTTACATACGTGTATATAACTCACGAGACGACGGCTAATAATTTCCTCGGAGTTTTTTCTCGTCTCGTGCGCGAGACCGTCGAAAAGTAGAGAGAAAGAGCGCGTGTATGTTTTCAAAGTAAAAGGCGGGCAACGAAAAGGCTTGGCTTTGTCACCGAATCTCCACGCCCGCGCCGTTCTCTCTGTCTCCGTCCTCGCGTATCGCGGCGCGACGCGACGCGACGCCGCGCCGCGCCGCGCGCGAAAAAGGACGAAAGGAAGGGACGACACGCGAGCATTAACGATCGCCGATAGACACAACGGTTTTGCGTTACACGTCGCGCTGTTGTAATGCGCTCTCTCGCCGTTTGGTGCTTTGGTGCGACGCGACGATGTGAAAAACATCCAGGCTGCCGCCGCCGCCGCACAGCATGATTATTTTCATTTCCGCAAATGCTCTGTAAAAACAATAGCATTCGCTGTTGTTTGTGACGAAGAAAAAGGGATGCGCGCGCGCGCGCTCCCAGTGGATATAATTACGGTAAAATTAATTAGCATTTAATTTTTCTGCGAAAGTTGTAATATCAATGTATCAAAGAACACTTTGAAAATTGTTATTCGCGATACGTTGGCATTTCGTGATAATTAAAGTGCATTTAACGTGATTAATACGTGCTTCGACAGCGGCGCGAAAAACAATGTTTTCGAGACGCGTCTGTTCAGCCGCTAAAAAGTCCAGACTCCGTTTTGCGGCAGGCCACGCGCCTACAAAGCTCGCCGATAGTTTATTTTAACGAGGCTATTAAGATCGCCCCGACATTTTCAAATTTGGCATTGTTTGTCATAATCAAAAATGACGGTATAACGGTTACGAGAGAAATAACGCACATCGGGTTTGCGCCGCTTCCCTCCCTCCCCCCGATTCCCGTCGATTTGTACCGCGCTAAATGGTCGGTGCCGTCTCTCTCATCGTAATTTATAAAAAAACACGTGCCGAAAGATAACTCCCGAAGCTCAAAGAGCGCATCGGTCATTACGTTTCCCTTCCCCTCCCCCCTCGCGCCGATTAAAATACGAACGTAGAGAGCGGGCGCGGCTACGTTATTCCCGACCCGTTACAGCTATTAATCAAATCCATATCGGCATTTTTCGGTGACGCAAACTTGTGCGATTCAGTTAAACAGGAATTTCGGTAAATTCCGCGGAAAATGAAAGCCTGTGCGCGCGAGCGAGCGCGCGCGCAGCCGCTTTACACGTATCGCGCGCACGATGCCACGATTTCGCTTCTGTTTGCCACGCTGGCTATACCGGAAAATGATTAACGACGCGAGGAACGAGGTCGAACTTTCGGCACATCCGCGGCGGTTGTGCACGTGCAACAGAGTGATCCCCGAGACACGCTCGGTGCTCCGGAGCGTCCCGGGTGCGGTTTTCAGACACGTCGACGTCGTCGTCGTCATCGTCGTCGTCGTCGTCCTCGTTCCGCGTCCCCGGAAATTTCACCATTTTTTCGCCGTCCTACGTCGAAACGACATGTGACGACGTTGAGCATACGTGACGGAGAGCAGGTGCGCGAGAAAAGTGCCGTCCGTCCGTCCGTCCGTCCGTCCTCGTCTCGCCGTGCAGGGCAAAGCTTACCGCCGTAAACGGCTGTCGCCTCGGCACCGCGCGCAAAATATTAATTAAGGTACGTTACCTCGCTAAAAGGTCGTATCTTACGGCCGCATTATTCCCCCCTCCCCCTTCCTTCTCTCTCTTTCTCGCGGAAACGAATGTCGACCCCTTCATTCTTCCGCGGTTCTCAAGACGCGAATTTATTTTTATCTCTCAAAAATTCTAAACGCGTTTGCAGAAATTTCTTTATCTCCTCCTTCCACACCACGCGACACTCTTCACGTTCCGCGTCGAAATGTTCCCGATAAAATATTTACAGCTGACCCGACTCTATCAATTTCCGTGAGACATAAATAGACTTGCTTAATGGCATTCGCAAAATCATCCATTCTTTCACCGATGCCGTAAGTAGATCGATTAATAATCGTCAGACTATCGGGGTGGAGGAGGATGGCCTGCACTCTCTCTCTCTCTCATCCCCTCTCTCTCTCTCTCTCTCTCTCTCTCTCTCTCTCTCACCGCGCGCTGTGCAGTTTTCATCGAGCTCGAAGGCGCGACGTGCAAGGGCTGCGCCCAGGAATTAATTTTTCCTGCGGAACTACACCGGTCGATAATTTCTCTTCGTCCATCGGCCGTCGATTATCTCTCACGACACGGCACACACGAGGCTAATTAATATTTGTCGTATCTCTCGTTGACGCGCGCCCGATAACAGATGTGAAAAATTAAAAAGTTTCCTCCCCTCCCGCGCCCCCTCCCGCGCTGTCTTTCTCTCGCCGAAAATTTCTGCAATTCAGCTAGTTCAGTCGACTTGTCCGAAAAAAACGAATCCCGGGTTTCCCTTTGACGGACAGCCGCATACGTTCGTCGCGAGCGGGGAAGGCCGGAAGGAACGCGAGAACTCTTCGGGGAACGCGAAAGCGACCGATCAGATTTCAATGGACGCATTTCAATCGAGGTCACTGCATACGAATTTCTCTTTGGTATGCAATGATTTATGGTTCGTTGCGCGTTCTGGTTGCGGTCGGTTCGCCGCCGAGGTATGTATGTAGCTGGAGAGAGGGAGAGGAGAGGAAAAAAAGCTCTCTCTTCCAAAAAGGCTCCGCACGACCGCTCCCGCGCCATCGGCGAAATGGACGGGGACCGAAAAGGAAGTTATCGGCGTTCCTTGTATTTTACTCCATCGTGTCGCGTGTATTACTCTATACCATCGCCGAAATCGAAAAGAGGGATTTTCCAAGAGGTACGAAATATATAGGTATATAAAGTCCGTATCGGCGACCGTAAGTTTTTCGTCTCGTAGAAATTTCTATCTCTCTAAAATTATTATCGAATAATACCGTAAGAGATAAACGACGAAATTAATCGAATAAAATTCTGAGCAAGATCCTCCCCGCCCGTCCCAAAGGCGAAAGCCTCGAAACACGCTCTATTGGGCACCCTGTGAAATCTGACACCGATCGATATCGGATTCCCGCGCCCGCCCTCGCCGTATCTTATTTTAATTAAAAACCACTCACCTTCTTGGCGTCATTGTTGTTGTCGGCCGCGTGATGTGGTTGCGGACTCATTGAAGCACCATTGCTGACTGCCCCGCTTTGCGATAGAAGCTCGTCACTACCCCTCTGCAACAATAGAGAAAATACATTCGATGCGATATATAAATAGAACTCTCGTTTACACGACGCGAACCCTCAATAAATTCTACTTTTCTCCCGCGGCAACGGATATTTTACGTCAGCGAGCAATAACGTAATTCAGAATTATTGCAAACGTCGCGCGTTTATGTATATGGCGTTACATTACGTCGGTCTTCGAATGTTATTAATTAATTGTAAGTGACACTAGAGCGACACGTGAATAACACACAACTAGGAGGGGAACTGCCTTTTTCGGTCTGAGCTCTACGTGCTGCGTGCTTAATAATATTTCATCGTGAATTTATTACATATATATACATTTACGATTCCGTAAACAGCGCGGCAATTTAATTTTCTCGGAACGTAATTCTAAACTTAAATCGGGATAGAAAATATCACAAATTAAATTGACAAGCAATTTAACGATACCGACATGCCGATAAGCATCTTGAAGCAATTTAAAGAATTTATGATAATGTAATATTATGATAATTTATTAATTTATTTAATATTTTCTCGATGTGGATAACAACGTTATCGCAAACGTTACGCGAATCGTCAAAGTAATCGCAGAGTAATTTTGCAGAGTGACGTTAAGCCGGACGGTTTAGTATTCCGCGAGTACTAATCGCGTCGCGCTCGTCCCATTTTATCCTCGGAATGCTTTAAAAGGGGGAGGGGAGGGAAATTGAAATAAATTATCGCGTCGAGCATCTTTCGATTACTTAAAAAGTGGAAAGAAGCGACGCGGAGATCTCCTTCAGCGAAATCCCATTCGATGTCCTTGTCCTTAGAGACGCTGATAAATCTCGGACTCGGGCGTCAAAAGAAACGGGTCAGAAGCGGTACAGCAGTAAGACGCTTTTAACACGGCTCCTGAATGCTAAATGCTTAACGGAGTCTCCCGGACGCGGAAAAACGCTGCGGTCACTCGAGCGCGAAGAAAGAGGTTCTCTCCTTCTCGCGAGATACTAATAATTAATCCCTATGAACCTTCGTTTCCCACGCGAATCATCACAAGAACTTCGTCTTTCGACTCGTCCCCAGAGGCCGTTAATCGGCCTATGCGCGAGTACAACTACAAAGAGAGTAGGATTTATAGAAGTAAGCGAATGCAACTATTAAATTCATAAAAGTAATTAACAGCAAGCGGCAATAAGTGATACCGGTCGATAACGGTAAATAACGCAGTTATTGCAGTTAGTTAAATATTAAATTTACTGTTAAAATACAAACTAAACAGGAAAATGTCTTATTCGGTCTGAGCTAAATCTCTTAGTGCTTGTAATATTTCAGTGAGTTTTTATATCCAGTCAATATTTTATTAAATTGCTTGTCTCGACCTAATTAATAGGAATCCCTGTTTAGAATTGCGTTTCAAGACTGAAGATTAAATTAAGCGCGCAGTTTATAGAATTGGATACGTATAGTCGTGGACAGATCGATTGCGACACTTTTTTTTATAGGTTTCAAAACGCAGTAATATTTTGCAAATGTGTATCACGATTGTTATACTGTCTCTAGATTAAAGTAATACATTGTGGTTCGCATTTGCAAAATATTATAGTTACCTATAAAATATATATTATGTATATTAAATATATATTAGGAACCTATAAAAAAAGTGTTCGCAACTGATCTATCCACGAAAGTACATAAATTCGCACTATAAAATATTATAAGATGCAGCACTAATAAAATATAGCTCGAATCGAATAAATTTTATCCTACTTTAAGTTGTCTTACTTAACGGCAAGTTTAATCAATGCTTTTGCCGTGTCTTTACGTACGCTTCAGCGATGCCCGTGGATTACTTTTCTATACGGATTTATCTTCGCCGAACACCGTTAACATTCCGCGCGGTTTTTTTTATACAATATAGGAGCTATATTAATCTATAAAAATAAAACGAGTTCTTTAGGAATGTAACGCGCATGCCGTATTCACGACGGAGACACTCGTCCTTTACACGATTACGACTTTTCCCATTCGCATGCCATTCATTATGCAGTCGCGGTTTTCTCGTCGGCGGCGTTCAGGATAGCGTCAAAGGCGCGTCGCATGCATCGTGTATCGCTTAACGAAATATTTATTTCCCCCCGCCTGCCGTATCCGACGCCTGCATGTATTCACGAATTACCAGGCTGTATTATGCAATCGCGGTCGGATGCGGGGTCCGTTAAACTTGCAGGTGAGGCGCTTTGACAGCGAGATGAGTCCTCGCACTGTGTCTGACACGGGTGAAAATCCATGAAAGATAATTCATAACTCGTAAGGAAAACCACCGAGGACTTCGGGGCCACGTCGAGACGGAATGCGAGATCAAAGGCAGAAAAGACGGGACTGAACGGAGCGGGCGGAAGGAAGCGAGCCGTAGGGGACGTGGCGGATTTACTCGCGGCCAGCGCCCACGGGTCATCGGCAACAAAGGATAAGAACGACCGCCGACTTCGTTATTCTTTGAATGTTAACTGGAAAAGTTGCTGTCTCCCTGCTCCTCCCCCTCCCCCTCCCCCCCTCTCCACACCCTCCCGGGATTTGAATAAGTGCATTCACTCGTTTACGAAACAGCCGATTTTATTATCCCTCTTCCTTATACCTCTTCCATTTGCGGAAATTTCTTTCGATTTGAGAAAGCAAACCGAGAAAATTGCCCGTCAAAGTCCACGATTTGCGAACCTTCTTCGCATAAAATTAAAAGAAATTGGATATCTAATCTCCGCTCGACGAAGAAGCACTTATACTTTTTGCTTTCTCGAAATTTAACGGAAACTATTAACCTTTTTTAGTTTTCGTTTGAATTTTCGCAGCGTGCGAAATATGCGGAAACGCACAAATTAAATGCAACGGAACAAAATATGTATAAGCAATAATAAGTTAAATTATAGACCGTTAAGTGAATAACACAATTAAATGGAGAAATGCCTTCAATGAACGAGAGGCTGGATCCTAATAATATATTTCAATAAATACTACTTTTCAGTTATTTAAACAGCGCGCCGATCACTGTCGGACATGCACAACGCAATAATAAACTGAAGTTGGAATGGTAAATTCACAAATTAAAATGATCGTCAATTTAATTTATATAAAATGCTAAAAATATCTTATAATGTATGCATTTGAATTAAAACGCGCGTTAACGTACGTCTTCTCTCCCGTCCGGTCGCGGAGTAGCGGAAAGTCGCAAAAGTGTTTACCCGCCAACTCGGAAAATAAATAAAAGTGGAAAGCTCCGCGAGTGCAATTAGGAGAGGACGCGTTCTCCGCGACGACGCACGTCTCTCATATATATATACACGGTTTATCTTACGAAAGTACATACACCCCGCGAAACGTTCGCATTGAGTGTGCGCTGTTAGGCGGAATATCGTTCAAAGAGCGGCAAGAAGAAGCTCTTATATACCGGAGAAACCGGGGGTCGTCCTCGGCTCTCCGCCGCGATCGTGCGGGAGAGAAAGAAAGAGGCAGCGACAGCCTGCCTCCCCGCGTGGGTGGAGACAAGCCGCGGAAAGGGAACTCGGATTCCATATTTTCCTCGGATATGGGGGATAGGGGTTCATCCTCTCTCTGACCAACATCCGGAGCGAAGCTGTCCGCCGCCACTCCCCACTCCCTCCCCCGGTCCGGGCGCTCGTGTATTATTTATTTCCCGCGGACGTATGGATTATGGACCGGCCAGCTTCCCCTTTCGCTTCGGAGCCTCCTAACCCCCGTCACGAACTCCGGTTCTCTCTCCTTCTCTCTCTTTCCCACTGTCTACTCTGTATTTCATCTCTCGATTCTCCATCTCTCCCCGATCGCCCGCCGCCGCGCCGTCCCGGTTTCCTCTTTCAACTTTGCGCGGATCGCGAGGTTGTTTTCTCTCGATCTTCGCGGAACCGTCGAGATCTCAAATCCAGGAAGCAGCCGCTGTCTCTCGCTCCTACTTCCCTCCCTTCCTCGCCACTCGGTCGCCGTTTTCTCCTTTTCTCCTTCTCTTTTTTTTTTCGTCCTTCATGTTTCCGCTGAAAGAAAATCTCCCGTGCGACCCGGGCGAAGAGCGCGCGAGCGTTTTACGTGCCCGACGACCCGCACGGAATTGTCTCAAGATCGTCCGCGCGCAGGGGGAAGGGAGGAGAGAGAGGAAGGGGGGGAGGTGGAGGCGGACGTTGGTACATTGAACGAACCCGGGAACGATGGGAGCTTCGCTCGGATGACAAACCAATCTCACGCGCCGGCTGCGGGCCCGATGAGCTCTCTCTCTCTCTCTCTCTCTCCTCCGGCCGCGGACGCTATCGAAAAGAAGAGAACTCGTGACACGCTCCGTTGGTCTCATCCGGATCCGATGACTATCGGACGAATAAGTACCGAGTGCACGAACGGGTGTATTAAATTGTGCTCGATCACCGAAAATTCGTGACCCGGGGACGGGAGGTAGGAAATAAAGCGCAATTTTCGACCGAAATCTGAATATCAAAATCCGTTACCGGAAGCAATCTTAGCTCAGGTGATCCTGTTATCCCTGGGCATGGCTACTCGTCGCTTACTGAGAGTCGGCGATTACCGGGCCGTAGGTGGGTCAATTTTCTCGGTAGATCGTCTCGTGGAAAGGACGACGACGACGACGACGACGACGACGATTCACTACAAATTCTTCGTCTTCAATTCACGATTAGAGATGCTTCCGCGTTAACTCTCGCACTACGAATGAAACTATATCGACGGTATTTTACCGTCCTCCTCCTGCCGTGTGTATCGCCGGCATGTATATATCGTGGACTGCGTCGTGAGAGACAATTCGTAAGAGCGAGCGATCCGCGATGTGAAATCCGGGAAAGGAGAAGAAGGACAAAGCAGAATGCGAGAGATTCAGCTCGTTTTTCGCCTTTTTCCGAGGATTCTCTACGGAAAAATCCTGCGAACCGCAGATTTTACAACAAGATCTATCTAGAGAGCCGCGAAGCGTTCTGTAAACGGGAAAGGGAGGATGGAAAAGTTGACTC